AKSSKAAYGCGCTTTCCCACGCCTGCCGAAACTTTSCTGTTCARTTGCTTTTATAGTGAGACATTTCACAAGACATTACACCTTGAATCATACAAAATAGTTGGTAATAACTGAGTGCAATACTTGGAAGTATAGGAATGTATGTCATGACTTCTCCACGAGGTTACATACTTGGTAATTTGTAGTGCAGGCTCTGTAGCGGAATGCTGCTTTGCGTCATCAATGGATGGTGTTCGCTTGGACATTCTAAGTTATATCCGACCTTGAGCATGTCACGTGATTTGCCTTGCTTATGTAAAGCTTCTATCCAATAATATTTGCCWGCCTCTAGTGGGAGGATTTGAGTCTTTTGATATGATGCCCTATGAATAGAGAGTATATGTTTTAATACATGGACTCTGTGACTATTGCAATATTGACTGTTGTTAAAACACAAGAGAAATAAAGAGAAAACGTACTTCTTTTCTGATGATTTSACTGCAGCAAGAAGATTCTTGTCTCTTGGGGAYGCGTCATCACTYAAGAACAGCTCGGCCTCGTCGTCTCCAGTCAGTGTAAAAGAGTAGTCACCAGTGTACTGCGGGACAAAATAACCGCTTATTCTGCTGCCATAGTCGTTGCCGTCATCCTCGGGAGCTTTGAAGCTTGGGATTATACCGACTTCGGTCGGGTTATCGGGGTAGTCTTTGTTTAGTGCTAACTCGGTGATTGTCTTTCCTGTTACGTTACGCCAAACCATTCGTTTGACACCTTGGTATGGTGCTAGAGTTGCAGCTGTTGAAAGATAAAGCGTTTAGTTATGGATCTCATCAGATCATTTAGGATAAGTCCTACTTATTTCTTAACTTAGGCCGTTCACCACTTGGAAAGTTCAATGTTGAACTATTAAGCCTATAATTTATCATTTATATAGAAAAACTAACGACAGACTTACGAATTTCGCGAGTTTTCATAATTGTTCGAACATCTTCAGTATCGAGACTACATGGGAAAATATAGAACTCGTCCAAGGCTCCCTTAAATTTGCGCAATTTGTTGTCCGCGAGGTAGTGGGATCCAATCTGCACCACATCACCCCATTCAGTGCTGAGGGCGTCAGTCTCTTGTTCATCGGTTTTCTCGTAGTCTGTCACTCTCTGGCCATTGACAAATATGGTAGCCTCGCGGGAGCCTGGATTATATGATCCTGCGATATGAATCCAGCGGTTTGGCTRAATGACTTGTTTTGTTGTTTTACCATATACGGTCTTATTGAAATTCCTTTGGAAGAAGCGTATCTTTCCTTGATCCAGGATTTCAAATCGGTATTGTGGTTTCATAATGTTGTCCTTTGGTGAAGCGTTTGCTTCGGCAACAAAGATTTCATGAACGTTTTTCTCTGTCAGATCTTTGACGTTGATCCAAGCTGCTATGGTAACGGCACTCGATGGTTTACCCTTGAAGTTTCTGCCGTCGAGCTGGATAAACGCTGGGGAATAAAAGTGATCAAATTTAAGAATGGGACGTTTTACTTTAGCCGGATTCAGATTGAGGTGTTTGATATCGTCACAAACTGCATGTACGACATTGTATGTCAACTATTCTAAGTGGGCAATGGTAGCTTAATGAATACCTTCTGATAGATCCAGKCCTATGTTTCCATTRACACCKCCCTCTGGGAGCAATTTTCCTTGCAGTCGTCCATTATTACCCATGCCAGACTCATCATAGATCGTACTTGCACATTGCTTGTCGAAGTTAAAGTACAAAACTGGCTGGCAGCGGAATGGATATTCTATGYAAAAAATATCATTATAAACATCGTCATTAAAATCATCATCATTGTCATCGTTATCATTACCACTTCTCTTAATTTGAGCAGCTAGTTGTTCGGGAGATGGTTGAAGAGCTTTCATGGGRTCGTCCTGTAGTGGTTTGGCAGGTTCTGGATTTGATGTTGCTTCTGCAGTTGAGGCTGGAACAGCTGCAGCTGGAGCTGGAGCTGGAGCTGCAGGCATTTGTACAGGCGCTGGAGCTGGTTTATCTCGCTGCAACCCATAGGGTAGTGTGAAACTGTTTAGGGAACCAACTGTGTTGAAAGAGAAGATGTGTTTTAATTCCAATAACGACTACAGGTGCAATAATAACTTTACCAACTAGCATCAACAGTATCAATACAACTTCAACACCAATACATGAATAACTTCAAAGTGTAGAAAAGTATCAAGCTTACCATGGCACATAACTTTAGCCACTTTAGCAGCCTCTTCTGGTTTCTGCAAAGAGTTCACTCTCATGGCAAAGTTCTTCTTGGTAGCCATATTCTTAAGATCTTCTTCGGGAACATCTTCATTTCCAACAGCAACAACCTGTACACCGCTGTACTGTAGCTGCTTGGAGAAGGCCTTCAGGCTCTTAGCAGCGTTAGTGTTATGGTCCTTCTGAGTTCCCATGACGTTGACGAGSAGGACTTTAGGGACATGCTGTCTCATGCCCCCTGAGGAGGTGAACATTTCAAACTTGGCCATCTCGAGGAGTATGACAAGGTTCCTGTTGCTTACGTCCCGTGGTAAGGTCTGTAATCAGTATAGATGTCAAAGATTAGTGTGTTAGTTGACTTACAAGAACTCTATGCTAGTTTTAATCAAAATGTCTTTMCTGTTACAACGTGATTAACATCTATCAATCTTCCAGTTTGCTTTATCTCCACCCCGTTTCGCCGAGGATCGGTGTTGGGGTTATACCTACATTGATATAGGATGCGGATAAATACTAGATCCTTCCTGGAAAAATTGATTTAGTGACTGGAAAAACGCTGTCATGTCCAAAACTTTTGACAAAGATTGTAGTTCAATAATACATATTGATAATAGTTAATTTTAGCTAATAATAATAATACCTGTATAGACTTGATGACATCGTCATGATTGTTCCTTTCGTCCAGTTTAGATTGTATCGATGGGATGGTCGAGTAAGCCACAACTCCAACATGGGAGCTGTCTTCCGACATGTTGAAGCTTTCAAGGATGTTTCTAACGAATTGCTTTTGATGAGCCCACTGTAACGGACTGACATCAGCGGACGAATCGAGGGCAACAACAATATCCATGTTATGCGGGCAAACTAAAATAAGACGTTATGATTTAATGTACAATTGAAAAACCTTGATGATTTAAAAGTAATTTTCGCGGAATTTCTYTATTATTATTAGATACCTACCATAACGTTTAGATGCAGACTGAGTTTGCTCGGTTTGTGGGGCAACGTTCGCCGACTGGGAAGCTTTAGCATTTTCTATTGTTTTCCACACAAGATGAGATTGTGATTCGGTTGCATGTGCTGCTGTTACTGGTGTTTGAGTTGCCTGTGTTTGCGTTTGTTGCTGGGTTTCCTGTGGCTGCTCAAGCTGTGGAATCTGGGGAGGCGTCACTGAAGTTTGTTMATCCTGTGAGACTTGCTGGTCTTGTGACGATGGTTGCTGGCTCTGGGACTGCTGCTGATTTTGTGCGAGTTGTGGTATGTCAGGTACTTGGGGTCCCTGTTGTTGGGTAGTCTGAGGGGCCTGGGTCTGAGTTGTTTGCTTTTGTGTTGTTGGTGTGGTTTGCGGCTGCGTTTCTGGGGCTCCCTGTGTAGCAGCAACATTTGTTGGATACATAGCAGATGTCCTTTGGTTGTTATAAGCTGATGTTGCTTGATTGTTATTGGCTAATACTGCTGCATTTTGATTGGCTGATGCTACTAGATTTTGATTGGCTGKTGTTGCTGTTGRCACTGGATTCCTATAGCCCGAAGTTGCTGGATTCTGTTTGGGTGTAGTGATCGTAGTCACAGGCCGTTGTCTTGGATGGTTGTTGTACTGTTCAGAGAACTGTTTGGGTACATACGTAGGAGACAGGGTCTCGTGTGTCAGGTGATCGTTGTGCTGCTGAGCTGGCAGTTCTGTGACGGAGARGACCTTYGGTCGAGGATACGACATTTTACCGTAGATCTTCTTCCAGTAGTCAGCTTTTGGAGGTGGAGAGAGGGGCGCCTTGGCGACTGGTTTGGGTGGAATAATCTCTCTTGTTGGTGCTGTTTAGCAAACAAAACATTAGCTCAATCAAAACTATACAGCACTGTGATCTTTCAATCGATATATGTTCGTTCTAGTCGATTTAAAGTTGATAAACTTCTAATACTTACTATGACAGGCCAAGTTCACTGTCTTTTCGATAATTCCTATGAGATCTTTGAAGGATTTCACATGTAATGTATGGTGTAGATCATCTGCWACGCTATCAGCCAATCGTTGATCAGCATCGTCTTCATTGATTGTCACGACGACTGTTTTTATATTGTTTTTACGAAGATGTTGCGTGACATCTCCCATGTTCTGAGATCCTAGCTCTCCATTGGATAAGACAATCAGTGATTTGGCAACCTGGATGGGGTTAAAACGGAGTTGATTTAACAGGCGATAGTCTGATACAGTAACGTGCGAAAGTGAGGAAGAAAGGTTTTAAGACGAAATAGATTAAAGGAAGGAAGATGTGAAAAGGGAAACA